GTAGTGTAGTATAGTGTAGCGTAGTGTAGTGTAGGATAGTGTAGTGTAGTGTAGTATAGTGTAGTATACTATAGTGTAGTGTAGTGTAGTGTAGTGCTGTTGTTGTTAGGTGCCGTCACATCAGTTCTGACTTACAGCGATCCTATGTACAACAGAATGAAACACTGCCGGTTCCTAAGCCATCCTCACAAACTTTGCTATGCTTGAGCCCATGTTTCAGCCACTGTGTCAATCCATCTCGTTGAGGGTCTTCCTCTTTTTCAATGACTTTTCACTTTACCAAGCATGATGTCCTTCTCCAGGGACTAGTCCCTCCTAATAACGTGTCCAAAGTACGTGAGAGGTAGTCTTGCCATCCTTGCTTCTAAGGAGCATTCTCGTTGTACTTCTTCCAAGACAGACTTGTTCGTTCTTTTAGCAGTCCATTGTATATTCAATATTCTTTGCCAACACCATAATTCAAAGGTGTCAATGCTTTTTCAGTTTTCCTTACTTGTCTAGCTTTCCCATGCATATGTAATGTAACATAATATAATGTACTTACTTTCCATAATGCAGTCTAATGTAATGTAATCTATCAATCAGTTGGGGTCATACCACTGTAGCGTGGATCCTAAACCTACTAATTACTTCTGATTTGAGTACATTTTAGCTGGTTTTTAAGTAACAGCCATATTTACTTAGGGTTAGCTCTTCCTTAACAGTTAAGAACTGAGAGACTGTAACATGGAGTAATTTAAAGGGCAGCAGAAGTTCCCAGAGTCATTAGCGCCTTAGTTGCAACTCACCTGAATGCTTTAACTTGACAGTCTAAAAAAGAACTCTTGATGCTGCTGTTTCGGAAGAGCTGGTTGAGCTGAAAGAGAGGACAATATTTCCTAGGTCAGAATCCCAAGCCCAGCAGCCTCAGTGAATTCTCGGCCACTAAGCCCACTTCCCTATCTGTCTTTTTCTTGTCTCAACAAACACTAGCCCAGGTGTGTGTGCCAAAAGACATTCTGTTCCAGGGTATGATTTAGCTGTGTGCCCCCAGGCCAGCCACTGAAACTTGCTGCACTGGTTTCTTAATCTGTAAAATGGGAATAAGAATCTGCGTTCATGAATTTTTACGAAAAGTCACCCTCTGACTACCTGGTATCCTTGGGCCAGTTTTGCATGGGAACAGAATGGAATACAGAGTCCCATACTCACAGCATCCTCAATACTTCTCTTGTTCTGCTGGTATTTGGTAGAGTTTGGCTGGGCTATGGCTTGGGAATACAGTAGGTTGGTGATGGTGAAATTCAGCTGGAAGTGCTGGGGGCTGAGGCTGCTTGTTGGTTTGTCTGTCAGTAGATGAACTGATGGCTCCAATCCTGGAAAATAAAGAAAGTATGTAAAACTCCCATGTGAGGGGGGACAGTTTGATCAAGAGGTCATTCCAACCAGCCTACTTATTCTTGGCAATGTGACTTGAGCTGGCTTTTTAAAGGTGGGCTACAGAAGACCCTTTATCCATCTGTCCACCTTGTCTCCATCTGTCTACCTGTCCAGCTCTTCTTTCATCAAACAGCATGAGCGTGCACTAGGATGTGGGGAAGAGGAGACGGGCCTCTTGGGGCTTGGTTGGCACGTGCAAGTGTGGACCACCCCACTGGGCATCTGTCGCACACTTTTGCCTAAATTCCTTTTGTTCTTTTTTTTTTTTTACTTGCACCTCCATTTAATTTTTAAAAATGGTTTTTGAACACTACATGTAGGAAGGATGTAGGTCAAAGTAAAGGACTGTCCTTTAGACTAAGCTTTAAGAACTCACTGCATAGTCCTCATCTTTGCTTATTTCAGAGAGAACTTTTTTTATGGGCCAATATGGGCTTAAGGGCAGCCCTTTTCTAAAACAAAGTCATAATTTTACAAAGGAAGAAACTGAGACCTGGAGAAGGGAAGAAACTTGGCTTGGTTCCAGCCAAGGCAGCAGTAGGGCTCAGACTAGAACCCATTCTTCTGATGTCTGGTCATGTGCTCCTTCTCCAGAAGTCCTCCCTACGGGGGCTTTGATGAAAAACCTGACTTCCCAGGTGCTTTCCATTCAACCCAAGCATGGGGCAGAGCCACTGGAAGTTACTGCTCAGTCCTCCTAGCCACGCTCATGCGGGCTGAAAGCAGTCACTATGGTAATGATCGAAGATATGGGATCTGTTATGAGGGCACTGTCTTTAAACATCCAGAAATGATGTGGAATGATTCTTTTGGTCTTCTGGGTAACAGAGGGGAAACTTCAGTTTCTTCAGTTGCAAAATGAAGGAGCATGTCGTTGCTCTGTCACATGAAGATACTGTGTTTTGACAGTTAAAAATCTGTGAAGAGTTAATTTTCTAACTGTCTCCTGAAGAGACCAAGCCATCTTTGCCCTTATTATTATTTTTTTTAATAAGCTGACAAATTGGCTAATTCTCTTGGAAATGCTTTGATTTGAGAAAATGGACATTTTATACAATTTCCTTGGAGAACGGATAAAATAGGTTTTCAGATGCATTATCAATAAGCAGGACATTTGGATGCTGTGATTGGAAATGGAAAAAAACATGGTGAGCTCTTGGGTTCAGATGTTCAATTCAATATGTGAAGGAGATGACCGAGAAAAGGCACTGGCAGAACGCTTGCTTCTTCTGGATGACTGTGGGACCATTGAAGGGCAGGTCTAAAGCCAACTTGGACCTCAAGTCCACCTGAAGTAGTCAAGTTCACTGACTACAAATGTCAGGGAAGAGAGGCAGGAAATGACATACTCAAGTGTCACCTGTAGAACTACCCCTTAAGGGCAGGGCCATGTCCTATTTGTCTACTCTCACAGGTCTGGCCTCTCACAGAGAGTAATACCTATTTGTTGAAGTGAAGTGACTCTTAGGGACCCAAAGGCATTTCCTAGATTGAAATAACTTTGCCTAAATTTCTGATGGATGACCTGGGTTCCCAATGGGTCTTCCTGCCTCCACACAGCACCCAGAGGATGAATTTTCTATAGCAGAACTCTGAGTGTGTTATGTCCCCCCTGAAAATGTTCCAGTGCTCCACAAAGTCCCCACCCACCTCTTTAGCCTCAACTGTCACCTCTTCTGTCTCACAGCATATGTTCCAGTCACACCAAACTTCTTACATCTTCCCCAAATAGGCCACGTTCTTTCTCTCCTCTAGATTCTAGGTATGTGGAAAATAATTCCTCCTCTCTTCCCCCTGGCTTGGTCTTGTCCTCCACTAGATCTTGGCTTCTTCATCACTTATTTCAGAAAACTTTCCAAGACTGAGCTGTGTGTCGCGCCTTGGGACTCCCACAGCCTCCTGAAATTTGCTGATTATAGCAATTATTGTAATGTATCATTAGTGCCTGTTTACTTTCATTAAGTATTTGTTCAGTGAATGAATGAATCAATGCTTGATGCATAACTGGGGACCTAAGAAGGCAACTTAGGAATCCCTGGGTGGTGCAAATGGTTAAGTGCTTGGCTACCAACCAAAAGGTTGGAGGCTTGAATCCACCCAGAGGAGCCTCGGAAGAAAGGCCTGGTGGTCTGCTTCCATAGAGATCACAGCCAAGAAAACTCTATGGAGCACAGGTCTACTCTGACACACCTGGGGTTACCATGAGTCAGAACCAATTTAACTGTGATAAAGGGTTAACCTAACAACAGCAGGCCATAACCACAAAAGACCAACTTGTTTGTCAGAATCTGAAAAGCTTAAAACAACAGAAAAAAAACTACATCAAAGAAGTGGTACAGAGAACTCTAACTGGTTCAATGGACAGTGGACGTGTGTACCAAAACTAAATAACAATTTACCCCAGGAAGCAATTTAAAGATATACCCAATGGCATACATAGCCCACATAACAAAAAAACAACCATCATATGACAGACCCAGGACACCTGAGCCAAGAGACCTCATTGTTAGAAAATAGAAACAAGAAAAGGTCACCCAAACATTATCTTAGTTCTTTGTCTTTACTGTAACCAATCATAGTCTGTAAGTAATTTACTCATAATGAATCAACACCTGTCAAAATTGTATAAAAAGCACTTAAAAATTGTACTTCTTTGGATTTTGTTGTGTTTACAGCCCGAGTGCTTGCAGCCAATTTCCCGTCTTTGTTTTCTGATATGTCACAGTAAAAATCTCTTTGTTGCAGAAGGCTTTAGTGAAATTTGTTTCTTTACAACAATGGAAACTTTTTTTTTTAAGAAGGCAGCATAGGATCCTCCACATTTTAGGCTAGAAAGCCTGACATATGTTTTGGATTGAATTGTGTCCCCCAAAAACACGTGTTCTAAATCCTACTATACCTGTGGTTATAACCTCATTTGGGAATGGGTTTTCTTTATTATGTTAATGAGGCAGTATTAGAGTAGAGTGTGTCTTAAGTCAATCTCTTTTGAGATATAAAAAGAGCAGATTGAGCAAGCAAGCAGAGATGGGGAAAGATAGATGACATGCCATGTGAAGATCACTAAGAAGCCAAGGAATAGAAGCTGAAAAGAGTCAAGGACCTTCCCCAAGGATGGACAGAAAGGGAAAGACTTCCCCTAGAAATGGCGTCCTGAGTTCGGACTTCTGGCCCTCTAAACTGTGAGAAAATACATATCTGTTCATTAAAGACACCCACTTGTGGTATTTCTGTTATAGCAGCACTAGATGCCTAAGACAACACGTAAAAGTAACCATTTCCTTGGATGCAATCAGTGCATATTCTCTTACCGCCTCCTGTTGGATGACCCACTGCTGGGGGTCATCAATATGGTCCTATTTTTACCTCCAGAGCCTCCATCCCTTCCACTGCTACTCGAAAGTCCTGCCCCTTCCTCACAGTCCCATCTCTTCCAGCCACAAAGCCAGCTGCCCACCTTGCACCTGTCACATGCAGGTCCTCCAGCTGGTAAGTGGTGTCCAGCCAGTGGGATGAGGCATTCAGGGTCCTGGCTAGGAAGACTTGCTCCACTATGCTGGGTTCCAGATTAGAGGAGAACAGGGCCTTGATGGTGACCAACACAGAGCTCAACCTGGGGAAAGAGACCACGGAACTCAGCCAGCACCCAACACCAGTGGTGACTGCTGAGTTGCAGGCTACAGAGCCAAGGACCTTGGGGCAAACGGTGTGGGGAGGGGCAAGCAAAGACTCTCCCCAGTCTACGGAAGAGACCCTGACCAGGAATTAGGGATGAAAGGAATAAGAGTGACAATAACAAACACCTATTGAGCATACATACCCTCACTCTTAGTGGAAGGTATTATAATTATCCCCATGTTACAGATGAGGGAACTGAACTTTAGAAACATTCAAAGTCAGCACTGTGTTCATATAATCCTCCTCTTCCCCAGTGTAGATGCCTTAGTTACTTTGCTAGCCCTCAGAGGCATGGTTCAAACCCTAGCTTTGATAATTCTTGAGCAGTTTGTGTCACTTCTCTGACCCTCAGTTTTTCCATCTGAACAATGGGGATGATAATAGTACCCACCTCACAGGAGCTGTTGTGGGAATTAAATAAGATGATAATGCAGGAAAGTGCTCAACAGAGAGCCTGGCCCACAGTAAATATTAGTATTAGACTGGTATTTTGAGTTCTGGAGTCCCTGGGTGGTGCAAACGGTTAATGCATTAGGCTGCTAACGAACAGGTTGGCAGTTCAAGTCCACTCAGAGGCACCTCAGAAGAAAGCCCTGGCGATCGATCTGCTTCCAAAAAATCAGCTACTGAAAACCCTATGGAGCTCAGTTCTGCTCCAACACACATGGGGTCACCATAAGTCGGGATCAACTTGATGGCAACTGGTTGTTATTTTGAGTTCTACATCAGAAAGGTGGCTTTCCCAAGGGTCCAAAAGAGGAGAAGGAGGTGGATCCTGGAGGCTGGTGGCCTCATGAGATTAATTCCCTCCTCCAAAGAAACCTATGGAAGTAGAGAGCAGGATCAGCTGACAGGGACATGGGAGAGGAAGGGCACCATGTCAGTGACTTCCAGCTCAAAGATGTGACATGGGCGCTAAGAGCCACGAGCCACCAACTCAGCCAGTGTCTTCAACCACCCCAACTTACTTCAAGTCAGTGACCAGGCAGGAGCGGAACACGTCTCGTAGCTGGCTGCCGGTATAGAGTGTGGTGACCTGGAATGAGGGGTAGGGAGAGCACTGAGGTAGAGGAGGTCTCTTGGAGGTGGAGGATCAACTGGACCCAGTGGAAAGAACAAAGGCCTTGGAGGAAGACAGACCTGGGTTCAAATCCTGGCTCTGACCCCTAACTCACTTGTGCAGTCTTAGGCATGTCATATCCCTTTCTGAGCCTCAGTTTGCCCACCTTGGAAATGGGAAGGCAGCCTAGGCACCACCTTTGGAAACTGAGAGAAGCCAAAACACCTATGTAAAGTGAAGAGTTGAAATAATCACTTAGTAGATGTAAGTCAGAGGATGAAGAGAGAGACCCAGGGCAGGAAGAGAAGGGAGGGGCAGGAGAGACCTCACCTTGTCCTGGATGTCCCACAGCAGTGCAGTGTACTCTGAGGACGCAGGGTCCAGGTTGCTGAGATTCTGGTTGACGATGCGAAAGTGCAGCAGGTACTCGCTCTGGGTCAATAAACTCTGGGATGCATAGCCTGGAGCCACAAAGAGGAAGAGGCAGGCAGGGACCCTTAGTCCTTTGCACAGAGTCAGGGTGGCCCAGGGGACCCCTGCTTGCTGCCATATTAAAGAAAAAATAAAAAACAGTTGCCATGGAGTCAATTCTGACTCATGGTGACCTCATATGTGTCAGAGTAGAACTGTGCTCCATAGAGTTTTCAATGGCTGACTTTTTGGAAGTAGATTTGCCAGGCCTTTCTTCTGAGTGCCTCTGGGTGGTCTCAAACCTCCAGCCTTTCAGTTAGCAGCTGAGCCTGTTAACTGTTTGCACCACACAGGGCCATAACCCATTGCCGTTGAGTTGATTCTCATTCATAGGGACCCTATAGGACAAAGTAGAACTGCCCCATAGGGTTTCCAAGGCTGTAAATCTTTACGGAAGCAGATTGCTACATCTTTCTCCTGCGGAGCGCAGCTGGTGGGTTCGAACAGTCAAACTTTTGGATAGCAGCCAAGCACGTTAACCACTGCACCACCAAGGCTCCCTAGGGCCATAGTCAGATAAAATCAAGCCTGCATGAAGGGGGTTGCTGGGGGTCCCAAATGGAAAGTCATCCTAAAGAGAGGGAAGGCTGGGATGTTACAGGGATTCTCCTGAGCTGAGCTTTCCTGCTTGTGCCTATGTAGTTCCCTCTTCCTGGAATGCTCTTTTACCTTCCTCTTTTCCTGGAAAACTCCTATTCATGCTTCAGTAGCCCAACGAGATAGAGCTCCAAGAGAGCAGGGACCCACCTCTGTCTTGTTTACTGTCATGTCCCAGTGCCTAGCACAGCACTGGAAACATAATATATGCTTCCAGGAAGCCCTCCTTGATTCACTCTTCCTCTAAGCTCCCGTGTTGTTGTTGCTAGCTACTGTCAAGTCAGCCCCCAACTCATGGCAACCCCATGCACAATGGGATCAGACCGTTGTGATCCATAAGGTTTTCTTTGGTTGATTTTTGCAAGTAGATCACCAGGGCTTTCTTCTTAGTCTGGAAGCTCTGCTGAAACCTGTTCAGCATCACAGCAACACACAAGCCTCCACTGACAGTTGGATCGTGGCATGAGGTGCATTGGCTGGGAATCGAACCTGGGTCTCCCACACGGAAGGCAAGAAGTCTACCATTTAGCACCCTGTTAATAAGAGTGTCACTGACTTAATTGTGCCCTGTAGTAATCCTTGGTTCACTTGACTGGGAGTTTCTCAGAGACAGGAGCTGTATCTTCTGTCTCCGCTTCTGCACAGGGCATGGGACAGAATGGTCACGCATACATGTTTGTTGAATGAATGAATGTGAGCTGCAGGAGACCCCCAAACATCAGGGACTGAGATAATCATTTATCACTTGTTCACTCATTCATCCATTCATTCAGTCATTCAATACGCGTACTACAATGTGCCAACATATTGAGAACCAAGGATACAGTGGCACACCAACTAGACAGACCCTAATGCCCTAGAGCTCACAGTGTAAGGGGGCAGTCAGAGAATTAAACAAGTGATTAGAGTGACATGTGGGAAGTGCTGGCCTATTGCCCATCTAGGAACTGTGGGGCCATGTATAGCAGGATCTCTTACCCTCAGCACTGCTGACATTTGGGGCTGTATAACTCTTACATGATAAATAAATACATAATCCTGTATTTTATCTGGCAACCCAAACATGAGCCCTGGGGAATGTAAGTGTCAAGTGTCATCTGAACAGGAGGGATGGGATTCTTCCACTCAGTATCTCTGCTTCATATCCTAAGGTCCTCTGTGGCCCTGTTGGCCAGCTACATGGGTGTATTCAGGGCCCATTCTGCTCCTTGTCCCTGTTGGGTTTGCTCAGCTTTGGAGATGGGGTCTCACACTACATGAGGGGCTCCCATGCACTGTGGTGGGGGTTCCTGTGCACTGTGGTGTGGCCCCTGTGCACTGTGGTAGGGAGCCCTGAGCGCTGTGGGGTAGGCCCCTGAGCACTGTGGTGGGGGCCCTCAAGCACTGAAGGATGTTGAGCAGCATCCCTGGCCTCTACACACTAGATGCCAGTAGCACCCTCCCCCAGTTCTGACGACCACAAACATCTCCAGACATTGTTAGGTGTCTCCTGGGGTGCACAATCACCACCAGGTAAGAACCACTGATACGGAGGAACCTCATGCAGAGGAACCTGCAACCCTGTCTCAGGAGATTCCATGGGTCAGACTTTTTGGTTTTGAATTAGAATTTGTTGGATTAATTTGGTCAAAGAATGCAATGCCATTTACCTGAAATAACAAGACCCTACCCATTGTGGTTGGGGGAGGAGTGACCTCCAACTATGCCTGGGGCTGACATTTTGGAGAGGAAAGACAATAGAACAAGGACAAGTGATGGACATTGTAAATCCCAGTTTAACATGACCACTCACCATTGACAGAGAGGCTGCCCCTGTCCAGGGTGTAGTGACCCAGTTGGGTGACGCCTTGGGTCAGCTGGCTCAGCTCCCAGTACAGCCGCTCTCTGTCTAGTCTGTGGCCCGCAGGGTCAGGGTGGTAGGTGCAGATGGCGTCCACTCTGGTTGCTGCCTTGTGCTTCTCAGGCCTGGGGAGGAAGAGATGTGGGGACTCTAGGGAGAGGTCCTGAGACCTCTAGGGGGAGAACCAGAAGGAGGATGGAGCAAGTGGGAGGAGTGGGCAAACTGAGAAAGGGGCAGTCACAGAAAGGGGTGGTCATTACAGGTAAACAGCCAGGAAGAGGTCTCACCTGAGGGAGATCAGTCTACAATCCGAGTAGAAGGGGCCCAGGCTGCTGTTCTGGAACAAGGGTCTGAGCTGGGGAGGAAGAGGGAGGAAGGTGAGCAGGAGGTGTGGTTTGGGGAGAGGCTGTTTCTGTTGTTAGCTGGCACTGAGTCGGGCTCCGACTCATGGCTACCCCATGTACAACAGAAGGAAACGCTGTCCAGTCCCGCACCATCTCCATGACTGGTTGCTGATTAAACTGTTGCGAGTCAGGATTTTCACTGGCTGATTTTCCAAAGTTGATTACCAGGCCTTTCTTCCTAGACTGTCTTAGTCTGGAAGCTCCACTGAGATTTGTTCAGCATCATAGCAACATGCAAGCCTCCACTGACAGATAGTGGTGGCTGTGCATAAGGTGCATTGGCTGGGAATTGAACCTAGGTCTCCTGCATGGACAGGGAGAATTCTACCACTGAACCACCACTGCCATCACTGGGGAGAGGCTGGGCAGAGTTTATCCCCTCAGGAGGTGCTGTAATCCATGTCTCACCAGGTGCTGCAGGACCCTCTTGGTGGAGTTGAACGTGGCAGAGCTGAGGCTGCTCATGTCTGGTGAATATTGGAGGTTGGAGATGGTGAAGTTGAGCATGAGGGTCTTCAGGGTGTGTCCTGTATCTGCAGGAAGGGATGGGGAGAGATACCCATCCCTGAGAGCTGGCCCGAGACCAGACTGGAACCCTGCACTCATTATAACCTGTTGTCTTTTCTCTCACTGGCAACCCCATGGTCTACTCAAGTCAGAAACTGTGTAGCAACCCAGCTCTTCCCTTGCCCTCACCTCCAAGTAACAATAATTCCACTTGATGGATGCTTCTCACATACATCTTCTCTCTCCATCCTTATCCCAGCTCAGGCCTTATCTTCTCTCTCTCCTGGATCAACACCCCCAGCTGACTCACTGGGTTCCCTGTCTGAAGGGACACTGAACACTAGAAGAATCTTTCTGAAATGAAAGTCTCACCAGGGCCACCCCTGCTCTAGTACCACCTGTTGCTCCCTATAGCTTCAGTGTTAAGTTCAAGCTTCTTGACCTGGCTATCAAGACCCTTCCCAATGTGGCCCCTGAAGACTCTCAGTCTCTTATGCAAACCAGATTCCTCTCAATGCTCCCCATACACCATGCTGTTTCAGGACACTGAGCTGATGATCATGTAATCGCCTCTGACAGGACCATCCTTCAAGTGTTATTTGCCTAGATCACTCCTACCCACCCTTAAAGACCTAGTCTAGGTGAAACTTTCTCCACAACCCCCCTCCCAAATTATGCCAGATGCCTCTCCCCAAAACACCTCACACTGTGTCATAATGGTCTCTCTCTCACAAGACTGGGAGCTCCTTGAGGAGTCGTATGGAATTGCTGGTCTAATCTTTGTGATTAGAATAATCATGCTGACTTGAGACTCTTTACACTCTACTTTCCTAGTCCCCATCTGACACCTGGTGGAGGTGTGCGACTGGGGAGCTTCCCTCAGAGTGGAAGGGGGCCCTCAGATACCTGTGGTGGCTTCTTGCTGCACAGGTGCTGATGAAGGAGGCAGGACGGTAGTGGCCAACTCAGGAGCTGCGGAAAGGACAGTCATCAGGGAGGGATAGAGCCCCCCACAGAGAGTAGGGGCTCACCTGGGCTCCAGTGGCAGTCTAGCCCAGAACAACCATTCACAGGTGCACCATATATGAGAATGAGGGAAGGAGTGACTGTGAGTGAAGGCCTGAGAAAGCATGCAAATGGATTAACCCAAGGGTGCCAGAGTAGGTAAGCCAGGGAGAGGCTGAACAAAGAGGACAGATGGTTGGATGGATAGAAAAATTGACAGACAGATGGGATAGATGGATGGACAGAAGGAAGAATAGAAAAATGGAGGGTCAGAAAGAATAAAAAACAAGGGAGAAATGTTGGAGATGGAAGAAAAGAAGGATAGAAGGACGGATGGATGGAAGGATGGGTGCTGAGAGGAGGGATGACTGGAAGGATGGAAGAATGGATGGGTGGAAAGATAGATGATTGGGGCACTGGATGAGTGAATGGGTAATTTTGGCCAAAGCCACTTGAGCAGCTGCCAGAGTGTGCAGACTGACATTGAAGCCCCTGTTTGGACTCCTGTTAGCAGGAGGCATGGGCTACATGGTCATCATCTGACTTCAGCCCCTATTCCTGTAGGGAATAGTTGTCCAGACATCTTCCTCCATCCCAGGGGGCTGTGGGAAATTCTGAACGCTGATATCATGGCCATAGGTCCAGAAGAGTTCAAGGACCCAGCCTTCTTCCTCCCACCGAGGCCTTTGCCCCACTCAGGAGACCTACCTGAGTTTGGGGTTGTTGCGAGGCCAGTCTGCCGAGGTCTCTGTGCCTCTCACCCAGGCTGCCTAATCAGCAGCCGTCCCCTAGAACATTCCCTGATAATGAAGGCTGGGAACTGAGTCTCCCTCTCTCTCCCAGTTTCTTCTCCTTATCAGGGATCCTCATTCCCTGTTCTGGGTACACAGTACTCTCTCTGTTCTTCTCATGCGTGTGCAGCATATGGCACCTGGCCAACCCCACTTCTATATCTGTTCCCAGTGGGGAAGGAGCAAAGTCCCTTACCTGTGGCACAAGAGGGGTGCACACAGGACATCAGCTCTGCATTGGCTATGGGAAGTGACCCACAGGCCATGGGGCACTGGTGTCACTACTGAAACTGACCTTGCTTTGTCTCTTCCCTATGTGAATAAAGAGTTGTTCCACCCAATGCCTGTCTATAAGTTGTGCTTTTCTTGGCAATCCCAGACTTCGACCTTAGCTTGACAGTTTTGCTCTGTGAGTTGGCACAGCGAGCAAGTTGACAGGGATAACTCCCTTTGTGATTGAGAAGAGAAGCTTGGTCCAGGACCCACAAAGTTTGGCAGGGGCACTGGGTGCAAGGATACATACTTGTTGGAGGCTCAGCTGGACCACGTTCATTATAACCTGGAAACAAAACATGACATATAAGGGGAGGTGGCAGAACTGTCCTGGATATATCCATGCCTTTGTCCATGTAGGTCCCCTGCTGGATGCCTTTGCTTTCTAAGATCCAGTTCAAATGTCACCCCCTCTCTAAAGGTTTTCTTGATACTTCAGTTAGAACTGACCCTTCCCTCAAAGGTTTTCTTGATTCCTCAGAACTGACCCTTCCCTCCCTGCCTCTCCAACATGCCCCCAAGAAGAGGCGCTTGTGTTCACATATCTCTCCTCCAACCTATCCATCCACTCACCACTCATCCACCTCTCCACTCTTCCACCTTCCCTCCAATCTATCCCTCCATCCAATGAATATTCACTGAAGCCCTATTAGGTGCCAGGAGTCCCTGGGTGGCACAAACAGTTAAGTGATTGGCTTCTAACTGAAAGGTTGGTGGTTCGAGTATTCCCAGAGGCACCTCAGAGGAAAGAACTGGCAATCTGCTTATGAAAAATCAGCCATTGATAACTACAGTGCATAGTTCTACTCTGACACACGTGGAGTTGCCATGAGTCAGATCTGACCTGACAGCAACTGTTTGTTTTATAGGTCCAGGTTCCGTTTACATTTGGGGAATATAGCACTGAACAAACAGTCCTACCCCACTGGAGCTTACATTAGGACAGGACACACATCTGACTTATCTCTGTCCCTGCTGCCAGGCACAGGGCCTGGCTTATAGTAGATGGTTGGCAAATGCTGAATGAGTGCACATAATGATGGATATATGCTGTGGACTTTTCAAGGGGGCAAATCCTAAACAGCCCCATGCAACAGCAGAAGCTAAGGGGAACAGATGTGGATTCAGAACATCAAGATGCAGACTGGCCACAAACTTACTGTGGGCATGGGCAGGTCCCTTCACCTCCCTGTGCCTGAGTTTCCCACTTGGCTAAAATGGGAGTAATAAAGGCCACTAGGAGCCTGGTGGTACAGTGGTTAAGCACTTGGCTGCTAATCAAAAGGTTGGCGGTTTGAAACTACCAGTCGCTCCCCAGGAGAAAGATGTGGCAGTCTGCTTCCGTGAAGATTTACAGCCTTGGAAATCCTATGAGGCAGTTCTATTTTGTCCTATAGGGTCAGTATGAGTTGGTATAGACTCAACGGCAACAGGTTTTGGTTCTTTTCAAAGGCCACATCCTCCTCAAGGAGCAATGGTGAGATGAGCAGGAAATAAGAGACTGTGAGTGCCAAGCGCCGCTCTCAGTTTGCGGATGGAGGAGCAGGGAAGAGAGTTATCCTGATCAACCTCACCACAGCCACAATCTGCCTCATAGAACCCAGATAGGGGCCACCCTCTTGTTGAACACTGTCCCTTCCCATGTTCTAGGCTGATGCTGATGTCCAGTGTGTCTGCAGCTTAGACCCCCTAGATGTTCAGAGTGCCTGCCTGCCTTCCTGGCATAGGGGCCCACCCAGGAAAGAAGTCCATTGGAAGCAAGGAGGGGAGACAGGTGGGAATTTCTTTCCCTGGGGCTCCCCCAAGAACACTCTTCTATGAGTTAATCGTGTAGAGGGTATCAAGGCTTTGGATTCTGACAACTGGGGTTCATGCCCCAGCTCACCACTCTCCAGCTACACCCACTTGGGCAAATTACTTAGCCTTTCTGAATCTCAGTTTCTTCATCTGTAAAATGGGATTAATCAAGGACTGGCCTTGCAGGTGACTGTGGAAGGTCCGTGGTGGAGCCAGGATTCACACTTGAGTTTGTTTCAAGTCTTTCCCTGGAGAACTGGTAAACAGAGACCCTCCTGGGAGGGGAGGGTGGGCTCGGGGAGGTGGGGATGAGGGCCACTCACCATTGAGGTAGAGGCTGTCCTTGTCCAGTGAGTAGGGGCCCAGCCAGGTGATGCCACGGGTCTGCCAGCTCAGCTCATGGAACACTTGCTTGGCGTGCAGGCCTGGACCCCTAGGGGGCTGCCGGTAGGTGCAGAGGGCGTCCACTCCTGTCCAGGCACCGTTCTTCTCAGACCTGGGGAGGGAGGTGCTTCTGAGGATGCGAAGGAGAGGCTGGTTTTGGGGGGATGCAGGCCACCTGTGGCCACTGCACACCTCACACCCAAGTTCTAGCCTCACTGAACCATTCATAGCATTTCTACATGGCTATATTCTCTCACCTCAAGGCCTTGGTACATGTGGTTACTACTGTCTGGAAGACTCTCCTTTTCCCACCTTTTTCAGGTCTCAGCCTAGATGCCTCTTCCGCCAAGGACCCTCCCAGGCTGGGTCAAGACCCCCAGCCCCCTGTGCTTCCCCATCACAGTCCTGGTTGTTTATTGTTGTCAGTTGCTGTCAAATCGGCTCCAACTCATGGTGACCTTATGGTAATCTTATGCACAACAGGAGGAAATGTTGCCTGGTCCTGTGCCATCTTCACGATCGTTGGTATGTTTGAGTCCATTGTTTCGGCTATTGTGAAATTCCATCTCGTTGAGGGTTTTCCTTGGCCATCTACCAAACCTGATGTCTTTTTTTAGCCATTGGCCTTTCTTGATGACGTGTCCAAAGTAAGCAACATAAATCTCAACATCCTTGCTCCTATAGAGCATTCCAGTTGTATTTCTTCTAACACCGATTAGTTTGTTCTTCTAGCAATCTACAGTATAGTCAATATTCTTCACCAGCACCACAATTCAAATGCATCAATTCTTCTTCTGGCTTCTTTTTTTCTTTGTCCAGCTTTTGCATACATATGAGGCAATTGAAAAGAGCATGGCTCGGGTCAGGCACATTATTCATCAGTGACATTTTTGCTTTTTATAGCTTTAAAGAAGTCCTTTGCAGCAGATTCGCCCAGTGCAATATGTCATTTGATTTCTTGACTGCTGCTTCCATGGGCATTGACTAAATGACAGCCCTGGTTGCCCTCTATGTCATCATATATTTTTTGTCCATGTTCCCTCCAGATTGTGGCCTCCATGAAGGCAGGGAATGGGCCAGTCTGGTTCACTGTTATGTTGAACCTCCAGCACCTAGCATAGTGCCTGCTTCATATTAAAATCAAAGTCCTCCAAGACCCTATGTGCTGTAAACCCTGCTGATGTCTCAAAGCTCATCTCCTCCCTCTCTTCCCCTTGCTCTCTCTTTCCTCCAGCCACATTGGCCTCACTGCTGTTCACCAAACATGCCTAGCTCGTTCTCACCTCAAGACCTTTCCCCATGCTGTTCCCTCTGCCTGGAACAGTTTTCTTGTCATTCAGTACACAGCTCCAAAGTCAGCTTCACAGAGAGGCTGTCCCTGTGTCCTGGGGAAAGCTGCCCTCCCCATCACTCTCTATGCTCCACCTCACCTCACCCTGTTTGAAATCATCTTACGTGGATACCTATTTTCCTATTTAGGATCTGTTCTTTTCCACTAGATGAGGGCAGGGAGCAGTGTCTGTCTTGTTCCTGTGGTACCCACCACCTACCGCAGAGAAGCTGCACCATAAGTGTCAACTGAACAAAAATATGAACAGACACACCTGTAACCCAGTTGCTACAGAGTTGACTCCAGCTCATGGAGGCCTCATGTGTGTCAGAGCAGAACTGCGCTCTACAGGGTTTTCAATGGTTGAATGGCAGAAGTAGATCACCAGGCCTTTCTTCTGAGGCACCTTTGGGTGGGCTTGAACCTCCAAACTTTCAGTTAGTAGTTGACTGCTTAACTGTGGACTGAAAAACCATTCCACAACCCAGGGACTGAAAAACCAAACCAAACCCTTTGCTATCAAGTCAATTCTGACCCATGGCAACTCCTTTGTGTCAGAGTAGAACTGCTTCATGGGTTTTTCTTGGCTGTAATCTTAACGGAAGTGGATTGCCAGGCCTTCTGCAGTACCACTGGGTGGGTTCAAACTGCCAATCTTCACGTTAGTACTGGAGCGCAAACCGCTTACGCCACCTAGCGACTGTGCTTAGTAAATGCCAACAGAATGCAAGCTGACTCGAGACGTGAGAGTAAATGGATGCAGAAGAGGACCCTCCACGGGGAGCCCGCCACCAACCCGGGTGGCCTCCACAGTCAGAGGTCAGAACCCCAAATTCTTCGGTGATGGCAGAGAGGAGGGGACGGCCTGGAGGGAGAGAGAGGTCTCACCTTAGCGTGGTGAGCCTGCAGCCTACATATCGGGCACCCAGGCTGCTCCTCTGGAACAAGGGGCTGAGCTGGAAGGGAAGGAGGGAGCCAGTGCTGGTCAGATACAAGCAAGAGCGCTGGGCTGGGCACAAAGGGGCAGGCAGGGAAAGCAGGCCTCTCACCAGGTACTGCAAGAGAGTGTCCGTGATGTTGAACTTGAGGGAGCCTGGGCGGCCCATGTCGGCAGAGTAGCGCAGGTTGTCGATGGTGAAGTTCAGGGTGAACGGCTCCTCGCTGACCTCCCCGGCTGTGGCAAGGGAGACTGACAAGGCTCAGGGAGGGGTTTCCAGAGTCCTCATGCCCTCCTCCAGATCAGCCTGAGGGTCACTAGTTAATGGAGACAACTCCAGCAGGGAATAAAAAAACCAAACCTGCCTGGTGCAGTGGACCCTGTGTGTGTCAGAGTAGAACTGTGCTCCATAGGGTTTTCAATGGCTAATTTTTTGGAAGCAGGTTGCCAGGCCTTTCTTCCAAGGCATCTCTGGGTAGATTAAAACCCTCAACCTTAAGGTTAGCAGCTGAGTGCATTAACCATTTGTACCACCCAGGGACTCCAGCAGGAAATGTGGATGGGGGTGCTTAATGATTTGCAGCATTGAGCTGGGCCCTTTTAACCTAGATGTAGGAGGGGAGAGCTCAGTGAAAACATTAATAGTTTTGTTCTTTCCCAGAAGAAAAGGCTCAATCCTGACACACTGGTGAGGAACCAAAGATCCCGGACATTTTCACTCAGGTTCTCTCTGCTCCCATCTCTATCTCTCTGTCTCTCTTGTCTCTGTCTGTGCTTCTGTCTCTCTCTCTGCCTCTCTCTTTCTTTCTATTTCCCTCTCCCCTGCACTCACAGTCAGGTATAATAACCTTCTATACATTGGTTAATAATAATGACATTCATAAGAAAACACACACACACACAAAATAATCCTAACAGCCATACCAAACACGCTGCACTTCAATTTATTCATCTGGAAAATGGGATAATAATGATTCTTACTTCAAAGGTTGTTATGATGCTTAAACAGGTTAATCTTTGTAAAGTGCTTAGCACAGTGCCAGGCACAGAGTAAGCACTATGTGTCTATTATACAAAATAAAGAAGTGAACACTTTGGGAATTCACTTTTTACATGGATATTATGTGAGCTGGGTATTAGAATCATCCACAACTAACAAAGGAGGAAGCCAAAGCCCAGGAAGTGTCACCTGCCCAGGGTCACATGACTGGAGGGAGGGCAAGTCTGGGTTTGGACCCAGGTTATGCAACCCCAGAGTCTATGCTCTTAACCTCTCTGTTATGCGAATCCTCAGACCTGTGCAGCTGAGGCAGTGCACAATAGTGGGGCGACTGTGCAGAACCCCACGGGAAGGAGCATAAGTGAACTCATGGCACAGGTGAGATCAGATTCCTGTGACCTGACTCTAGAAAAGATAAGTGGTCCCAGGCTAAATGTTTAAGACACACCTGTGGAAGAAAAGCTTACCCCCTTCCTGCCCTCCCTCCCTCCCTCCTCTTCTTTTCATTCATCCCTCCTTCCATGCTTCCTTTTGTCTGTCTTTCCTTCTCTCCTTCTATCTTCTTTCCCTGCATGTTTCTTTTGTTCCATCCATAAGTCTTTCCTTCCTTCCGTTTGTACCTCCTTCCATGCATACTGTCCATGCTTCCTTTCTTCCTTCCATTCCTTCTTTCCATCCAACTATTTTCCTTCCTTCTTTCTTTCTTTCCATTCACACTTCTTTCCATGCACCCTTCTGTCCATCCTTCCACCCTTCCTTTTTTCTTTCCTTCTTCCTTCCAACTTTTCTTCCATCCATCTATCCATCTTATCCATCTATCCTTCCTTCCTCCATCCTTCTTTCTCCCTCTCTTCTGCCTTTCTTCCTCTAGCCATCACCTATCTTTCCCTCCTTCCTTCTTCCATCCATCTTGTCTTCCATCCATCCATCCATCCATCCATCCATCCATCCATCCATCCATCCTTTCTCTCCCTCCCTACATCCTTTCTTCCATCCATTTTTCCTTCCTCCCATCCATCTTTTCTTCCTTCCACATGTATTGACTTGGCCTTATAATGTTCCAGGAACTGTTATGAGGGCTAGAGACAGTGATAAATAAAACACAGGCCTTGTACTCATGGAGTTGATATTGACTTATTTTCCCCTTATCAACTGGAAAAAGATGGTTGTTATTGCACCTCAGTGGCCCAGACTCCTGCTGTGGTCACAGAAAGCGATGGAGGATGAGATGTAAGAGACCAGTGATGGACCCAAGGAGAGTCTGACTGAGTTGAGAAAACATACTCCTAATGCAAGGGCAATTAATTCTTGAAAACCAACAAGGTGCTTATCACAGGGTTTTCTGGGGATGCAAAAGGAGTTTGGCCCTTGAACTTGAACATAAGAGTGTACCCCAAAAATCAGCATATCTTTTGGAATGAATAAACCAATAGATGAATAATGTGGAGACTTAGACAATGAGTTGGAGTATGTGAAATCCTGGTTCTATTATTTATTTGCTGTGTGGCCTTTGCAGGAGACTCAGCCTCTCTGGGCCTGAGTTTCCTCATCTGTAAAATGGAGCTAAGTCACATGGCTGTGGTATGGATTAAAGAAGACAGTGTATGTAACTCTCTTAGCAAGGTGTCTGGAAGGTCATTGGTTTCAATAAATGTTAGCTGAAAATTCAACCACAACAGGTGCAACAGTGATGTTAAGAAAGTCTCAGAATAACAAACAGAGACATGAATTAAAGGATAAGAAGAACATCAGTGTTCACAGCAGCACTATTCATAATAGCCAAAAGGTGGAAACAGCTTAAATGTCTGTCAACGGATGAATGAACAAAATGTAGCATACACATACAATGGAATATTACGTAGCCATAAAATGAAATGAAGTTCTGTTGCATGCCACAACATGGATGAACCTTGAAAACATTATGCTAAGCAAAATAAGTTAGTCACAAAAGGAATTTACATGAAATAGGCAAATATATAGAAATCAAAGCTTATTAGTGGTTACCAGGAATGGGAGGGAAAGGAGAAAAAGTCATTGCTTAGGGGCACTGAGTTTCTGTTAATGGCGGTCGAATAATTTGGAAAAGGATAGTGGTGATGGTTGTTCAATATGATGAATGTAATCAGTCTCACAAAATTGTATGTGTAAAAATTGTTGAATTGACAAATGTTTTGTTATATAATTTTTTACCACACACACACAAAAAAACTTAAAAAATGAAAAGACAAAGAAAGATTAGGAAAAAAAAAAAAAGGATAACAAAAGAGAATACTAGGCAACTTTTTCAGATTAAAATGAAAACCATGTGAGGGCCACATCATATCTGTGTCTAAGCCCTCTTCATCTTGGGCTGGGACTCTCCACCAGGAGCCAGGAGGAGAGGAGGTGTGAGTTAGGGGCCCTTCCAGATGTTTCCCTCACTGAGGATACGAAGTAAAGGAAAACCAGCTCTCCTGCTAATGTGTGGACGGGACCCAGGAAATCAGGGTCAGAGATACTCACTGGTGGTAGTTGAGGCTGAGGCTGCATAGGTGTAACCTGCAGAGAGAAGGGAAGAAGAGCTGAAGAGAGTCAGGGTGTATATAAAGGATAAGAAGAACATCAATATTCATTGCAGCACTATTCACAATAGCCAGAAGGTGGAAACAACCTAAGTGCCCATCAACAGATGAATGGATTAAAAAAATGTGGTTGTACACACAACAGAATATGACTCAGCCATAGAGAGAAACGAAGTCCTGAGACATGTTACAACATGGATGGACCTTGAAAACATTAAGTAAAAGACAGGATTAGGAATTTCTGCAGGAAAAGCAGAGGGAAGAGGCTGTGGAGGGATGTTCAGGAAGAGGCAACCAGTCTATGAGGTTGAAGTGGCTGGATCCAGTCATTATCCCCACTAGGACATTGATTCATCACAATGAAGACAGAACCCAGACCCAGGAGTGGGAAAGACTAGATTAATGCTCACTCTGAGGAGATTGTGGCCTCCCTCAGAGCTTTGGGAAAACAAAAGACTCCAGCTGGAAGACAGACCCAGCTGCAGCACAGCCCCTTACCATTGACATAAAGACTGTCCCGGTCTAGACTGTAGTAGTCCAGTCGGTTGACACCATGGGTCAACTGGCTCAGCTCCCAGTATAGCTGCTCTCTGTCCAACCTGGGGCCCTCAGGGTCAGAGTAGTAGGTGCAGACAGCATCCACTCCAGTGGTTGCTATGCCCTTCTTAGGCCTGCAGAAGGAAGGATATGGGAATGGAGAAACATTGAGAAGGATACCTGAGCATTCCAGGTGTGTAAAGGAAGAGCATTGAAGGAAGATGCTGAAGGAGCTAACTCTGAGGTTGAGAGGGGCTCTCCTAGGTGTCTCTCATCTGACATAACACATTCACTGCTGGGGACAGAAAACATTGTTCTTAGAATTTGCAGACAGGATGCAGTGGTTATTTCTTAGAGGAGAGCCCTTGTTTATAACAAAATATCATCTGGAGCCTATAAACTGTAAACATTGTTCCTTGTCTCTAACCCTTAAGCATTCTGGGAAATGAAGAGGGCATGAAGTGGTCAGGTGGAGCTGGAGGTCACAGAAACTGAGCCTTGTGCAAGAGGGTCCACCCAATCTGCTGAATCCCTCCATCCACGGGTCTCACCTGAGCCAGGCCAGTCTGCAGCCAGAGTAGAGGGCGCCGATGCTGGTCTTATTGAGTAAAGGTCCAAGCTGGTGAGAAAAGAGAGGGAGGTGAGCAAGAGGGCCCAAGGGGTTGAGGGGCTGTGTGGGAAGGTGTGAAGGTGTGAGGAGGGCTGGTGGGTGGTCATCGTGGGTCTCTCACCAGGCGCTGCAAGACCCTGTCAGTGAAGTTGAACCTGGTAGAGCCTGGGCGTCCCATGTCACCCGTGTAGCGCAGGTTGGTGATGGTGAAGTTGAGGGTGAACGGAACCAGGGCAGGTTCAGCAGCTGCATTGGGGGAAGAAGAGAGAGAGGTCCATTTGGATCATAGTGACGGCCAAGATTGCCTGGGATCCTGGCCGGAAGCACTAGCAGTGGACTAAGTACAGCCATCCACTGCAGAAGCTGAAGGAGGGAACATTCTGGAATTCACAAGATGTTGGGAACCTTGACTCATTATTGAGCGCTAATGGGTACAAATGTCCCTGGGTGGTGCAAGTGATTTGCAATGGGCTTTTAACCTAAAGATTGGCAATTTGAACCCACCCTGGTGATCTGCTTCCATAAAGATTACAGCCAAGAAAACCCTATGGAGCAGTTCTGCTCTGTAACACTTGGGGTCACTATGAGTCAGAATCGACTTGACAGCAAGGGGTTTGATGTTTTGATTTTGGAATGAGTGCAAAGCTCTGTGCTGGGCTCTGTGGGTTCATAGATGAATAAGGCATAATGTTACAGTTTGAAATGTGTCCCACCAAAATATGTGTTGGAATCCTAACTTGTGTAACTGGATGTAATCCAGTTTTGGAATAAGGTTTTATTTGTTATGTTAATGAGGCCATTATCAGTGTACGGTGTGTCCTAAACTAATCTCTTTTGAGTTATTAAAAGAACAGATTAGACACAGAAGCACAAACACAAACTGGGGAAGATAGATGCCATGTGAAGATTTCTAAGGAACCAAGGAATGCTGGGCTATGGAAGCTGAAAGAGACAAGGATTTTCCCCCAGAGCTTACTAAAACTGGTGCCTCCAGCCTCTGAAACTCTGAGAAAATAAATTTCCATTCTTTAAAGCCGACCACTTATGGTATTTCTGTTACAGCAGCACTAGATAATTAAGACTTGTAATCTCCCAGTATTGTGACCAGGGGAGTGACCAGACCTTTACACTGCAGGGGAACCTAGGGGACATATGTGTCAAGAAAGTATACCCAATTCAATGACTCAGGAAAGCTTCATAAAGGAAGCACCATTTCGGGTGTGAGTTAGGTAAATGGTAGCTGACAACTGCAAAGAATCCTGTAGGCAGGAGGAACAGCCTAGGTAAAGTCCTGGTGGTAGGGCAGAGCAGTTTCACACAAGGAACCTCAACTCCTTTCATTGTGGACACAGGGAAGTTTAGATATGAGTCTGGAAAGATCCTCTGAGCCCAGAAAGGGAGGTTGTGACTATCCAGAACAGAGTTTGGACGTGACTTGAGGCCAGGTGGAGCCATCCAAAGATTGTCAACAAGACAGGAATTACATGGACATATATAGGTCATAGTGGAGGCTACTACAGCCATCCTAGTGAAAGATGCTGGCAGCCTGAATGAAGGTTGAGGTGATGCAGATGCAGAGAAAGGAAGGACTTGAGAGATATTTAGGAGGGACAAGAGATGAGCTTTGGTGATGGATGTATGTGGAGGTGAGGAACAGGAAGGGCCAAGGTTGGCACACCAGACTCTGTGTTTGGTGATAAGGGATAGAGCAGATATGAGGGATGATGATGACTTCAGGGTGGACATGTTGAGACCAGGAGGACTGAGTGATGTCCCAGGAGGTGAATAGACAAGGGGTCGGGAGCTGCCGCGGGGTATGGATTTGGGGTCTCAAAGGCTAGGTGGTCAGTAGAATCCAAATGGCTGAGCACCCTCTGGGAGAGTGAGTGAGCAATGAAGGAAGGAATGATTTGATACAAATAATGCTGCAGAAGAGATTTCATTATCAATAAGAGCCTGAGGCCTTTCTTACCTGTGGGCTTGGTGGTGAGGGCAGGTGCCAGATAGGATGCTGAGAAGGCTGTGGAGGTCACAGCTGCTAGAGAAGAAACACCAGGATTGGAATATAAGATGAGCTATCTCTAAGGAAATGGCAATGGGTGGTGGGGGTGGGATACTAAGATAAGGAAATGTACAGCTCTCTTATATCCCACTCTACCCTGGAAGAGACCATCATCCTCAAGGTGGGGAAGAGAGAGACTGCCATTATCTCTAACTCAGTCCACATTCTATGCATGTCCTCTGGACCTTTTTCCTTCCTGATGGTAGGTAGTGGCGGGGAAGAGCTGGCAGGTCCAGCAGCTCCTATTGTTCAGGAGATGCGGGGTGGTCCCAGGCACACAGGGATATTGAGGTCTGTAATACTCACTGGTGGAGGTGGTGGCAGAGGCCCAGTGGGTATAACCTGTAGATAGGATGATGAGGAAGGGGGAGGGAGAGACATTCAGTGAGGAGGCCACTTGGTCAGGGTAGAGATGGTGGCTGGACCATCATAGCTGTGATTCCTTTCAAGGAAGACAGAGCCCACACCTGGCAGTGATCAAATGCCACACACCCACCTCCTGCCCAGGAGACAGAGGCCTTGATCAAAGCCCTCTAAAATGAGAGGCCCAGAAGGAAGCCTAAACTTGAGGTAGATACTTGCCCTAGCAGGACCCATCCAGCAAGAAGGAGGAGACACTAACCCCAGCAGGGCCTCTTACCGTTGACATAGAGACTGTCCCTGTCCAGGGTGTACAGGCCCAGCTGGGTGACCCCATGGGTCAGCTGGTTCAGCTCCCAGTAAAGCCACTCTCTGTTCAACCTGGGGCCCTCAGGGTCAGGGCGGACGGTGCAGATGGCATCTACTCTGGTGGCTTCCCCGTCCTTCTTGGGCCTGGGGAGGGAGGATGTGAGGGATGACAACAAATGGTGCCCCAGAGAAGCGTCCTGAGATTCTTTACGGGTAGGGCAGAAAGGGGCCAGAGGAAATGAGACAGGTGAAGAGCTGCATTTGAGACTAAAGCAAGTCCACAAGGTGTCTTTGTCTGGAGAGAATCCCTGGGGACAGAATTTAACACCTGAAGGAAATGCCCTAATTTGTCAGAGGAAGGGGAAGATGGAGTTCAGGGAGTACCAGAGAGGGACCAGTCCTGCTGATGGGCCCTGCAAAGCCTGGGAGTGGGAGTGGGAACCAGGAAATAACTTGGTCCTGGAGCAAATGCCCCCTGAATTATCTGGCATGGCAGAAAGGACACCGACCAAATGCCTTGAGCATGGGATCACTTTCGGCATTCCCGTCAGTTGTCTTTTCCAGGTGTCTCACCTGAGCGAGGTCAGTCTGCAGCCAGAGTAAAGGGCGCCAACACTGGTCTTTTTGAGCAAGGGCCCAAGCTGTTGAGAAAAGAGAAGGAGGTGAGCAGGAAGGCCCAAGGAGTTGAGGGACTATGTGGGCAGGGATGAGGTGGGGCTGCCAAGTGATCATCGTGGTGCTCTTACCAGTCGCTGCAGGATCCTTTCAGTCAAGTTGAACTTGGTGGATCCCAAACGTCCCAGGTCATCTGTGTAGCGCAGGTTGTTGATGGTGAAGTTGAGAGTGAACAGATCTGGGGCAGGTTCAGGAGCTGCATTGGGGGAGGAAGAGGAAGTTGTCTCTTTGTACCATAGAAATGGCCACGGTTACCTGGGACCCCGGCCAGAAACACCAGCAGTGGACTAAGTACAGCCAACTGCCACAGGAGCATAAGGAGGGAACAAAGACTTTGGGAACCCAGACTTCCTCATTCAGTGAGCATTAATTGAGCATATATGGGTGCAAAGCTCTGTGGAATCATAGATGAATAAGGCATAGTGTTACGGATTGAATTGTGTCAACACAAAACATGTCGGAACCCTAAACTTTATATATGTGGATCATAGGCATCCAATATGACAAAGTAGAACTGCCCACATAGGATTTTTAAGCTGTAATCTTTGTTTTTAAATTATATTGCTTAAAATAATTTTAAAAGGTTGCAGCAGTACACCAACAGGGAACGGCCAGAAATTCAAGCCTGATTCAGATGAGGATGTGGAACAAGGAATACCATTGCTGATGACAGATGGATCTTGGCTGAAAGCAGAGAATACCAGAAACATGTTTACTTGGGTTTACTGACTATGCAAAGGCATTTTACTGTGTGAATCATAACAAGTTATGGGTAACATTGCGGTGAAGGGGAATTCCGAACACTTCATTGTGCTCATAAGGAACCAGTGCATAGACCAAGAGGCAGTCATTCGAACAGAACAAAGGGATATCACGTGGCTTAAAATAAGGAAAAATGTGCGTCAGTGTTGTATCCTTCACCACATGTATTCAATCTGTATGCTGAGCAAATATTCCGAGAAGCTGGACTATAGGGAGAAGAACGCGGTGTCAGGATTGGAGGAAGGCTCATTAACAACTTGTGATTTGCAGATGATACAACCTTGCTTGCTAAAAGTGAAGAGGACTAGAAGCACTTACTGATGAAAATCAACGACTACAGCCTTCACTGTGGATTACACCTCAATATAAAGAAAACAAAAATCCTCACAACTGGACCAATAAGCATGAAGTTGTCAAGGATTTCAATTTACTTGGATCCACAATCAACACCCATGAAGGCAGCAGTCAAGAAATCAAAAGACGCACTGCACTGGACAAAGCTGATGCAGAAGACCTCTTTAAACCTTAAAAAGCAAAGACATCACTCTGATGACTAAGATGTTCCTATCCCAAACCATGGTGTTTTCAACTGGCTTATTTGCATAGGGAAGCTAGACAATGAAAAAGCAAAACTGAAGAATTGATGCCTTTGAATTATGGTGTTTGTGAAGAATACTGACCTTCAGTGAGATGGGTTGACTCAGGGGCTGCAACAATGGGCTCAAACATGGCAATGATTGTGAGGATGGCGCAGGACCAGGCAGTGTTTTGTTCTGTTGTACATAGGGTGGCTATGATTTGGAACCCACTGGACAGAACTTAACAACAATAACAACAATATTTACGGGAGCAGCTCACCAGGTCTTTTCTCCTGAGGAGCCACTAAGTGGGTTAGAACCGGCAACCTTTTGGTTACCAGCAGAGTCTTTAACCATTGTGCAACCAGGGCCCCTTTGGGTGGTTATGAGTGGAAAATCGACTCCAAGGCACCTAACAACAACATATCTGTGGATGAAATCTCATTTGGGAATAGGCTTTTCTTTGTTATATTAGTGAGGCCATATCAGTGTAGGGTGTGTCCTAGACCTAATGACTTCTGAGTTATAAAAAGAAGAGATTAGCTACCGAAGCAAAGCACAGACTTGGGAAGTTAGAGGCTGTGTGCAGATCGCCAAGGAAGCAAAGAATGCTGGGGCTACAGAAGCTGAAAGTGACAAGGATTTTTCCTGGAGCTGAGACAGAGAGCCTTACCCTAGAGCCGGTGCCCTGAATCCAGACTTCTAACCTCCTGAATTTTGAGAAAACAAACTTCTTTTCTTTATATTCACCCACTTGTATATTTCTGTTACAGCAGCATTAGGAAACTAAGACATGTCTTAGTCTCCGGTATTGTGGCCAGGCAGTGATTAGACCATTAAGCTGCAAGGTGAGCTGAGGGCATATGAGTCCGGGAGGGGCACCAAACCCAATGACTCAGGAAAGTTCACAAAGGAGGCACCATTTCAGATGTGATTATAAGAAGGGGTAAGAGTTTGGTAAATGGCAGCCAACAACTGGAAAGATTACTCCAGACAGGAGGAAGAGCATGGACAAAGGCCTGGTGGTAGGGCAGAGCAGCTCACACAAGAAACCTCAAATCCTTTCATTGTGGCCACAGGAAGTAAGACATGGGACAGGAAGGATCTTCTGAGCCCAGAAAGGGGAATCTGTGACTGTCCAGAACAGAGGTTGGATGTGACTTGAGGTCAGGTGGAGCAATCTAAAGATTTTCAACAAGACAGGAAGTAGGTAGACATATGTAGGCCAGAATGGTGGCTACTGCAGCCATCCTAGCAAAAGATGCTGGATGCCCAAGAAAAGTTTTAGGTGATGCAGAAAAGGAAAAGTCTTGAGAGATGGATGGATGTGGGAGGTGAAGGACAGGGAGGGCCAAGGCTGCCACTCCTGCCTCTGTGGCGTTTGATGATGAGGGAAAGAGCAGGTTTGAGGGATGATGATGACTTCAGTGTGGACATGTTGAGACCAAGCTGTCTGAGTGATTTCCTAGGAGGTGGATGGACTAAGTGTCCGGAGCTGGTGTAGGGTGTAGATTTGGATACCCACTGACTAGATGCTTGGTGGAATTCACATAAATGGATGAGCTCCCTCAGGGACAGTGAATGAGCAATGAAGAAAGAAATGATTTGGTACAATAATGCTGGAGAAATGATTTCATCATCAAAAAAAGCTTGAGGACTTTCCTACCTGTGGGCTTAGTGGTGAGAGCAGGTGCCAGAGAGGATGGTGGGAAGGATGAGGAGTTCACAGCTCCTGGGGAAGAAACACAAGGGTTGATATCCTTGGAGAGCTATCTCTAAGGAAATTGCAATGGGTGGTGGGGTGGGGTACTAGGTAAGGAAATGTACAGTTCTCTTATGCCCCTCTCAGCCCAGGGAGAGGTCATCATCCTCAAGAGGGTGGGCAATGGGGTGACCCCTGTCACCACATTCTAGGCATGTCTTCTGGACCCTTTTACTTTCCTAAGTAGTGGCGGGGGAGAGGGGTTGGCAGGTCCAGTAGCTCCTCTTGTTCAGGAGATGTAGGGTGGTCCCAGGCATACAGGGATATTGAGGTCTTTAATACTCACTGGTGGAGGTAGTGGTTGAGGCCCAGTGGGTGTAACCTGCAGATAGGATGGTAAGGAAGGGGGAGGGAGAGACATTCAATGAGGAGGCAACTTGGTCAAGGTAGAGATGGCATCTGGACCATCACAGCTGTGATTCCTTACAAAGGAGACAGAGCCACCACCTGGCAGGGATCAAAGGCCACACACACCCCTTTTGCCTAGGAGACAGAGGCCTTGCTCAAAGCCCTCTAATATGAGAGGCCCAGATGGAAGCCTAAACTTGGGGCAGATACCTGCCCTAGCAGGACCCACCTAGCAAGGGAGAGGAGACCCCTACCCCAGCAGGGCTTCTCACCATTGACATAGAGACTGTCCCTGTCCAGGGTGTAGGGGCCCAGCTGGCTGATCCCTTGGGTCAGCTGGTTCAGCTCCCAGTAGAGCCACTCTCTGTCCAGCCTGGGGCCATCAGGGTCCAGGCGGAGGGTACAGACAGTGTCTACTCTGGTGGCTTCCCCATCCTTCTTGGGCCTGTAGAGGGAGGATGTGAGGGATGTTAATAAATGCTTCCCCCAGAGAGGGTTTCTGAGATTCTTTAGTGCTACGGCAGGAAGGGGCCAGAGGAAATGAGACAGGTGAAGAGCTGGATTTGGGATTAAACAAGTCCACAAGGCATCTTTGTCTGGAGAGAATCCCTGGGGACAGAATTTAACACCTGAAGGAAATGCCCTCCTTGGTCAGAGGAAGGGAGGAAGGAGTTCAAGGATACCAGGGAGGGGCCAATCCTGTTGATGGGCTCCGCAGAACCTGGGAGTGGGAGTGGGGACCAGGAAATGCCTTGGTGCTGGAGCAAATGCCTCCTGAATTCCACCTCTACTGAAGAGGCTGTGTCTGTCAGGGCAGAAAGGAAACTGACCAAAGGCCTTGAGGCTGGGAGCACTTGTGGCAGCCCCGCCAGTTGTCTTTTCAAGGTGTCTCACCTGAGTGAGGTCAGTCTGCAGCCAGAATAGAGGGGGCCAACACTGGTCTTATTGAGTAAGGGCCCAAGCTGGTGAGAAAAGAGAAGGAGGTGAGCAGGAGGGCCCAAGGGGCTGAGGGGCTCTGTGGGTAGAAACTAACTGAGACTGCAAGTTGGTCATCATGGGACTCTTACCAGGCGCTGCAGGATCCTTTCAGTCAAGTTGAACTTGATGGAGCTTGGGCGTCCCATGTCATCCGCGTAGTTGAGGTTGGTGATGGTGAAGTTGAGGGTGAATGGAACCAGGGTAGGTTCAGGACCTGCAATGGGGAGGAAGAGAAAGTTGTCTCTTTGAACCACAGTAATGGCCTAGGTTGCCTGTGATCCTGGCCAGAAGCACCAGCAGTGGACTAAGTACAGATATTGGCCTCAGGACCTAGAGGTGGGAACAAAGATTTTGGGAACCCAGACTTATTCATTGAATCAGCATTAATTGAGCATATATGGGTACAAAGATCTGTGGAATCATAGATGAGTAAGGCATAATGTTAGGGAGTGAATTGTGTCAACACAAAATATATGCTGGAACCCTAACCCTTATACCTGTGGATCATAGGCATCCAACATGACAGAGTAGAACTGCCCCTGTAGAGATTTTTGGCTGTAATCTTTAAGTTTTTAATTATTTTGCTGAAAACAGTTCAAAAATTGTTGCAGCAGCACATCAACAGGGAACTTCCAGAAAGTCAAGGCAGATTCAGAAGATGACATCGAATGAGAGACTTCACTGCTGATGTCACATGGATCTTGGCTGAAAGCAGTGAGTGTCAGAAAGCTGTTTACCTGTGTTTTATTTACTATGCAAAGGCGTCTGACTGTGTGGATCATAACAAATTTTGGGTTATGGATAACAATGGGAAGAATAGGAATTCCAGAACACCTCATTGTGCTCATAAGGAACCTTTGCAGAGACCAAGAGGCAGTCATTTGAACAGAGCAAGGAACACTGCATGGTTTAAAATCAGTAATGGTGTGTGTCAGGGTTGTTTCCTTTCACCATAGTTATTCAATCTGTATGCTACGCAGATAATCCCAGAAGCTGGAGTATATGAAGAAGAAGGTGGCATCAGGACTGGAGGAAGATACATTAACAATCTGCAACATGCATATGATACAATACTTGCTGAAAGCAAAGAGGACCTGAAGCACTTAATGATGAAGAATAAAGACTAGAGCCTTCATTATGGATTACACCTCAACATAAGCAAAACAAAAGTCCTCACAACTGGACCAATAAATGACATCATGTTAAATGGAGAAAATTTTGAAGTTGTCAAGAATTTCATTTTACTTGGATTCACAATCAATGCCCATGGGAACAGCAGTCAAGATAGCAAATGACACATTGCATTGGACAAATCTGCTGCAAAAGACCTCTTTGTAGTTGTTGTTAGGTGCTGTTGAGTCGGTTCTGAATCATAGTGACCCCGTGTACAACAGAATGAAACACTGCCCGGTCCTGCGCCATCCTCACAGTTGTTGTTATGCTTGAGCCCATTGTTGCAGCCACTGTGTCAATCCATCTCGTTGAGGGTCTTCCTCTTTTTCGCTGACCCTCTACTTT